TTTGCCGAGGGCTCCTGGCTTTCCCTGCCCGGTGAGCTGGAGCTGATGGTAAACTCTGGCCACAGCAGGCCCTTTCACCAAATAGGCCGAACACAAGCCTGAAAGCAGGCAACTTCCCTGCCTCAGAGCTGCAGGTAGGCAGACGGACAGACGGACGGGGAGGGGGGCGGGGGGCAGACGAGGGGCAGCCCAGAGGCCGCCCGGCGCAGGCTGTGAGCCAGGCCAGGAGGCACTGCCCGGGAAGGAAGGAGACCTGGAGGCTTGGGTTTCTACGGAAATTAGTGGGCTCCGTGGGAGACCAGGGCAGCAAAGGCTGTCAGCTGGAGGAAGGAGAAGTCAGAATGACTGAGAGGCTGAGGACTGGAATTCTAAATGGGCCTGATGTAAAATGGGGCTGCTGCTCACAGCCCGTTTCTGTCCCTGGCAGAGAGAGCGCCCACACCCTGGGGTCTGCCTGTTGGGGAAACTTCTGGACAAATGAGGCAACTAGACCAGGGCCAGGGCTCTCTCCGGTCAGAACCTGGGGTCCCAGCAGGGGTTTTCATTCTTATTTTTAAAGAAATAAGAACTAATCCTTCCCCCACTGAATAAAAACACAGGCAGCAGGGTCGTTGTTCACATTTCACCACCATGCACTCTTTTAGAATCTGCAAAAGCCTGAACACATGGACCCAAGACAAAACCACTCCTGGTTTTTGTGTGTGTTTGTTTTGTTTTGTTTTTATAAATATATTTTTATTGATTTTGAGAGGAAGGGATAGGGAGAGAGAGATAGAAACATCAATGATGCATTGGTGGGCTGCCTCCTGCATGCCCCCTACTAGGGATCAAGCCTGCAACCCAGGCACGTGCCCTGACTGGGAATTGAACCATGACCTCCTGGTTCATAGGTCAATGCTCAACCACTGAGCCACGCCAGCTCAGCCCACTCCTGTTTTTTATTAATGCAATTCATGTGGTCAGAGCAGGCAAGTAAGAGAGTTACTCTGTTAGCTAAGCTATAAGGGACACTCAAGTGTCATTAGAAATGTAACTATGCAGAGGAAAATGTGTCCAGGAGAATTCCTCTTGGAGGGAGTGATACATAGACTGGAAGAAATATTTTGGTGGAGCAGGGAGGGGAAGGGGACACGAGGCTGCTCCCAAGGGCCTTGTTCAGTAATAAAGGTGGCCACTAAGTGCTTTCTAAGATGGGTGGCTCCTGATTTCTGGGGCCTCTCGTTTTGTGATACGTAGAGGTCTGGGAGGGAGCGGAATTGCTAAAGAAAATAGGGGAGACTGAGCCCTGTCACTAGGGGCCTCTTTCTGTGCTCTTCCCAAACACGGCTCAGCCACCCTTACGTCTCTTAATTGTGAGATCCTTGTTGAAGAATGGGGGGCAGGGGAGTGAGTCCAGATGGTGAAAATTGGGCTCTCCTGTTGCTTCTTCTATGCTGAGACCTTCCTTGTTTCCCTGTCCCCAGCCTTAATAAACGTAGCTCAGAGTAAAAACGAGTTAGCATCCACCCTCCCACAGAAGCTGGGCGACTGGGGCGCTATCTCCACAGGCGTTTGCACTGCAGACATGGCTCCAGGTTGAGGAAGCCTTCTGGGTTACAGGGACTTCTATCTCAGAGGCAGAGGGGGGGTTTGTAGTTCCACATTTCCTACAGTAACTGCCTAAGAAAAGGGACGTCAGGGCCCCCTTGTCAGGTTTGGACTGGAAAAAACTGTAACTTCGTTGGCAGCTTGAGTTTTCTCGGTCGGGCAGGCATTATAAGGGGCTGGGGTCATCCCCGGGCATGGTGTGGGACGGGCAGAAGCCAGGCCAGTTGACTCGGGTCCCCTCGTGTGTGGGGCTGGATGGCATTGTTTATTTTATTTTCTCTTTATTGTTGAAAGTATTACGATGCCCCCTTTTTTAAACCCCCACTGATACCCTCCACCACGCCCCCACCCCCAGGCCTTCACTGCACTATTGTCAGTGGGTTATGCGAACATGAATGGCATTGCTGATGCTAAGAGTTTTGTGGTTCTCACCACGGAATGCTAAGCTATCCGAGGTCTGTGCGTGCCCCACCCCTCTCCCAGCAAGCCACTGAGCCACGCTGGCTGGGCAGCACGAATATATATATTTTTGAGTAAAATGGCAGCACTGCCTCTATTCATGTTAAAAAGGAGGAGGGCAGGCGATTCTCTGGAAGCAGGGCAAGGGGCGGTCAGCTTGCTTCTAGTGAGAGGCTGGTGGCTGGGGACGGGCAGGAGCAGGCTCGCTTGGGGCTATATACTTTTGTTGCACTGTTAACATGTTTTATCTTTAAATAATAATTAAAAAAAGAAGTAATAAGTAAAATTCCTGCCAGCAACATGGGAGGTCACCAGACCCAGGGCAGGCGCAGCCCCACAGCCTCACAGAAGCACCAAGGCTGAGGATCCACACAGAAGAGAACAGGGAAGACCTACTGCGCGACACCCCCCAGAACTAAATTAGAACTGAGCCCAGGCAGCTGCGCGCAGGGAGGGTCAGGACCAACGTGGTGGCCGCTGGCGGGGAAAGCGGGCAATTATTGAAAGAACCGCTGACCCAGGCAGAACGTCGGCCGCCGCCTTCCCCAGAGTCTGTGCAGCCACCGAGTGGAGGACTCAATTTAGGAAAATGAAACCGTTTATCCTGCGTCGGCTGGGGAAGCGCAGACAGACTCATTTATCTGGTTGTAAACCAGCCCGTGGCCTGACTGTGGCAAATGCATTCATTATTCAGCAGAAAGGAGAAGTGATTTCAGCTGGTGTCAGCAATGAAAAAGGG